GAATTTGTAGATCCGTGTGTTGAAACAATTTCCTTACTATTACCAACACTTTTCGAAATCAATTTTAGGTTAGCATAGATTAGGACAACATTGGTTGGGATATATAAAATTCTTAATTCTAATTGTATTGTCTAAATATTTCTTTGTGTTTATAATGCAAATAACTTTTATATCTTTATAGTCTTTAGACATATGTTCACATGTTAAAAGAAAGACATCAATGATGCTGTGAGCCTATATATGTATCAACTACTTTTTAATGTGAATCCATACAGCTTCATTTATCTATTTTTTATCTTTTTTTAAAATATTTTTTATCTGTTTTTTATCTATTTTTTTATCTATTTATTATCAACTTTTTATTTATTTTTTTATCCATTTGTCTATTGAAAAGTAAACTTTAATATTTAGCATATGTATATGTTATCTAAACCATATAAATTAAAAAATCTGAATCGAGTTTTGTTTATTGCTTATTTCTAGCAATAATTTTTTATATTAACACTAGGATTTGTTATAAACGTAAAAGTCAAAAAATATATGAGATTTTAAATTTCGTCCACAATTTCCTTGTATAATTCACTTAACTGATTTGGTGCCCATATATATTTACGACGTTTTCATGCTTAGCGTCAAAGAGAACCACTAGTTTTAAAAACCTTCTTCAGGGAAAAAATGTGTTCAATTGCAGGAATACAATTGTGTTTTAGTTTGAAATGGAACTCTTCTTTCTATCTGCAACAAAAATTAATATCTAATTGTATATATAATTTCAAATTTGTACCTATCCTTCAGTGTTTACTATGTGAACCAACACCTGGTTCGCGTGAGCTTTTAAAAGATTTTTCAATACGTGCACGGCTTGCTGGCCACTCGTCATCTTTGCAGGTATCTTCTCGATCTTCAATATTATTTGATATTGATGATGACTTGCGTTTACTTCCAGTTTTTATTATAGGGACATCATTGTTGATTTTAGCATTTAAATTGGGTTCATCCTTACATAAGTCAGACATTTCCATTTGTAAGTTAGTTGTTGCAGCGGTATTATTTGATACCGTAGCTATATTGCTAGAACTTCTTTTTAAGACTCCACCACAAACTACTTTATTATCAATTTTGTAAGAAACGGATATAACTTTCGACTCAATTTTATCGTTTATCTTACTTTTGTTTATTATTGAAGGATCTGCATTTTTTGTATTATTTAGATTTAAGTTTTTGCTTGGTTGAAAGTTAAATTTACTGCAGTTGCAAATACTCTCATCTGAATCTATAATACAATGCAAACTTTCTTCATCACACTGTTCTGAAACCTGTACATCTTCAGAAATATTTTCAGATTGTGACATACTGGAACTAGTAATCAAACATCTATTTACTAATAAACAGATTTCATTCCAGAAACCTAATGAATCATTAGATGGATTGTGTGATATTGGGGTTTTTGCTTCAATACTTGGAAGTTTTTCTTTTACAGACAAAACGCTTTTATCATCCAATGTTTCTTCAGAGCTACTACACATGCAGTATTCAAAGCTCTTATTTGTCACATCCTTCTTGTTAATTTGCTGTCTTTGTTTATCTCGGACGTTACAAACTTTTGAAAATCTAACCGATTTAGTCTTTTTTTTCGCATTTGGTTTAGGTATATTTTTTCTGTTATTGGCATTCATCCTTTTGTAACTTAATTTTCTTTTTTGTTCGTTTGATTTTGTACTGTGCTTTAAGATAGATTTCAGACTTTCAGAAGAATCTTTACGATCACATGTGCAAAATTTTATCTCTGTCTCAGTACAAGTAGCTGTATCTGTATTTATGTTACTGCTCTCTTCGCTTTTTCTGTGTAAGGGAACGTTTTCTGTTTGAATATATTCCGATTCGTCAGTACTGAAATCATCACTATTGTCTTCCTCTAATATTTTTCTCATGCACTTTTCTGTTGTTTCCAAAAGATAATAATGGTCTCTATACGTGAGGATCTCAGTGTCTCTTATACCATCCTTAAGCGCTGTTTTCACATTTTTGAGCACCGTGCTGTATTTGTTCTTGCTCTTTCCTGCAATATACTTCGCTATGTCTTCCGCTTTTGTAGGTGCTTCAATAACACACAATGCCTCCCTTATTAATTCATGTATTTTTGGAGGCATAGTGATCTTTTTAATATAGTGCAATTTTAATGATTTGTTAAGAAAAATATGTATTAGAGCGATTAAGATTAAGATACGATTAAGAATATTTATATATGATATGATTAAGCGAGCACCAAAAAAAATTTAATTTTCATTTGAATAAAATTAGACAAATTTTATCATACTTCTTGTATTTATATAAATATATATGTACATTCAGTTCAAAGTCAACTGAGATTAAAACAAATTTTATTTTATCAATAAAAGCTAAATGAATGTATTAGGGGTTGATCAAATTATGGGCTCGGATTTTATAATAAACTTGATTTTTCAATTAATGAGGAATAGCACGTAAAATAGTTATTTTTCTCATTTTTAAAGCACTCATTTTTTATTTAAGCCTAATTGTTGAATGGGTGATTCTAACACTAATTGATTTTTATTCATAACAAAAATATGGACATATATACTTACAACTGCTTTACATTAGGCCCGATAGTTTATATGACTTTGTTTAAATCAATCAAATAACAAAATTAGCGTATTAAACGTCTCAACAATTTTAGTAAACAAAAATTATTTATTAAATAAAAATTAATATCTTGTTTTAATGAATAATTTTTGAATTTAAATGCTAAGTTAATCGTATTCAATTTTGGTAAATAGAAAATTTTAAATGTATTCTTTTTGAATACATAACACGAAAGAGAAGGCAGCATCCTCCAGGAATGAGCGTCGGTGGCACGGAGATACGGTGGGAGGAAATCATTAAATATCTAAGGGTCACTTTTGACAAATGGCTTAATTGGTATAAACATATGAAATGCAAACGGAATAGTTGCTCTAAAATTCAACATCTTCTTAAGCCGCTGTTTAATAATAATAATCGCTTCAGCCTCAAAAATAGAAAGTTATTATATACTCAAATAATTAGGCCAGCACTACCGTACAGATTTGTAATATAAAGCAAAGCCTCAAATAATGCCATAAAGCAATTACAAATAGCCAAAATCTGGCTCTAAGAAGACTAATTAAGATTACTTGGTAT